TGAATGAATGAAATAAAGAGGCTAGTGTAGACCTGAGACCAGGCAGAGGAGAATAATCCTTCCTATGTTGGGCCACTGAGGTGCTGCAGAGCCCACGTGGAAGTGAGGGAGTGGGGTGGGGAGAGGGTATTTATGGAAGTGTGGAAGGAAATTCACTATGAGGTCCATGAACCCAGCCCAGTCATGGTCAGTGGCATCACAGAGTCATCTCCCAACTTCCACCCTGCTCTCTACAACCTAGTCTCCACCTAGAAATCCGAGGAAGTCTTTTGTTAGGAGAGGATTCTCTGTTCCAAGTCTTACACGGGCTTCTCATGACAGTGGCCTACCAGGGGAAGACTGATGGGGAAGACCGAACCCATCTAGACTCAATGTCTGCACCTTCTCTTGTTATTATGTGTGCCTAACAGCAGTGCCTCGGGGTCCCTCTGAATGACGCTGATTTCTACTAGAGGTCCCATGCCAAGGGACAGACAGGAGTTGCAGTAGGCTGGGATGAACCTGAACTGTCACAATGCCCACAAGTTCCATGGCATTTCCCACTGAACTGAAGTTGGAATCCTGGGGAAATGATGCAGACATCTGTGAAAGCAGCAGCATGACAATCTGAAGAGCCCAGAGCTTAGCTTCCCCTGCTCCTTAGGGAGGACACGTGATGGGGAGAAAAGGGCAGAGGAAGGGCAAGGGGGGACCTGTGTTGAAGTTCTTGCTCTCCACTATGGGACAGTAATTATTGTTCAGAAAATGTTTGCTCCTTCCCCCCATCATGGGAGGATTTTGATGTTTGGTACAGGATTCACTTTGGCCAGTGGAAAGTGGAGGGAGGTGTGTCTTTCGAGCCTCGAATGATTCCATAAATGACCTCAAAGGATTCTGACCTACTCCTGATCCCAGAAAAATGAGTCGTGTGGAGCCGAGCTGCCCCAGTTAACCTGTAGTTCGGCGCCTCCCCAGCCAACTCACAGATGTAGCAGTGAGATACTAGTGTTCACTGTTGAATGCTTGCTTCTTATGCAGAAATCAATGACGTATACAGTCACCTACTGGATGCATGTCCTTGGTCGAACGACTTCACTTCCTGGAGCCTTGCTTTTTCATCTGTGACCCAGGGATGACAACGGATCAACTTGGTGAGCACTAGAAAAGGTTCTGCATGTAAATCACATAGCACAGAGCCCAGGGGTGGGTGGTGTCCAGTTAGTGTCTCTCACGGTCCTAAAGCATGTTGTTATGCATCTACGTGAGATGTGAGCAAGGCCCATAAAGCTACGTTGTGGTGTAATGCTGATAGCAGCAATCCAAGGGGCTAGCTGTCAGGGTGAGGTGGGGTGGTCTCAGGTGGACTGGTGGGAGGAGAGTGTCTTCTTTCAATCTTTCTTAGAAGAATGGAAGCAGGTTGTCCTGAGAGGTACCCCGGAGCAGTTGGCATTGTTGTCAGCTCAACCTGAATTTGTGATCTGACGCCAATATATCCTGCTGCCTCCTCTAGAGCTCTGGTGAGACTTTCAGCTTCATGGTTCCCACCCCATGGCTGGATCCTCCGGAATGACGCCCCTGCTTACCACTAGCCAATCTTCCATGCACAGGGGCTGCCTTGGAAAGTTTAGCTGAAGGGATCAGTGCTGTGGGTTTCCTGCAAAGCAAATCAGTCCCTTTGTGCCAGTCTCTTGGGCATAGCATGTGTCTAGGCCATTCCCACGGATCGGGTCATCATTTTCCCTGCGGTGTCACTCCTGTCTGCTATGTGATAACGATTGTGACTCCAAGCTTCGAGGCTGGAGTGTAACAGCACAAAATACCTGTTATTAGGGGCCAAAGGCAGTTAGCTGTTCCACATGCAGACCAGGACCTCTTTACCTTGCTTTAGTTCTCCCTGATCCTGCCAGGCACAGAGAAGGAGGGACGTTCCTGTGCCTTCCATGTTTGCATTTTCAGGAATGTATCTTTTAAGGTCCCTGCTGGTCTACCACTGACACTACTGAGCCCTGGTATCAGGACCTTTTGAGACCTGGCTCCCAAACAGCTTTCCTGCCACAATCCCTTGGACCCTGTCACTTTTACGCCAGGGAGGCATTCACTCCTACCTGTTGACTGGGTTTCCTGTTAGGCATGGAGATGAAGAGCTGGTCCAGAGCCAATTAATTCCTGCCTTTGAGTTCTTCACAGTCCTTTCGGTGCTGTCCACTCATGCTTTGCTCTGGGGGTGGCCTTTCTGGGTTTCTGGAGTTCCTTCTCACTCCCCTTGCTTCTTGCCTCCCTCCCTCCTGTCTTCTTTCCATGTTGTTGTTATGTGCTGTGGAATTGGTTCCGACTCATAGCGACCCTATACAGGGTTTCCGAGGCTGTAAATCTTTGCGGGAGCAGAAAGCCTCATCTTTGTCTCGTGGAACAGCTGGTAGTTTTGAACTGCTGACTTTAAGGTCCACAGCCTGATTTGTAACCACTATGCTATCAGAGTTCCTTTTTGTTTCCATAGCAAATAGTTGTTCATTTACTCAGTCTTTCTTTGAGGAAATGAATGAGTTGACTCCTTGCCCACTCTTTATTCTGTTGTCCCAAAAGTGCTCAACTCATAGTTGCCATTTTTTCCTTGTTACATGGCGCCCTGGTGTGGCGCTTTGGGATAAAGCACCGGACTGCAGGGACCGTTTGAATGACAAGGTCAGTGGTTCAAACTCACCAGGTGCTCCTTAGAAACCCCATATTGGATTGCTGTGAGTTGGAAGTGACTCCCAATTCCATATGATGTACTGTGCTACATCTGTGTCCCTGACTAGAAGGTGAGACTCTCATGGACAAGAGATATATTCTAGCGATCCCTCTACTTCCTGGCTCTCAGTGCAGTGAATGAATGAATGGATGGAAGTCTTGTGCTTTACTAACGCTGCTCCTTAAAGGTATGGCTCAACTGTTCTTCTGAGTTCTCATGGACCAGATGGGGTTGTAGCCAACAGGAATCCCTCATTTGAGGTGGATGAGATAGAAATCTTCCTTAGTCACAAAACTGCCATCATCCATCATTGGTCCCAACAAGAACTGTCAGCCTGACTTCCAGCCCCTGCTGCACTTGAATTGATTCCTGGTCTCCAGGAAGGCTACCTTCCCACAGTATAGGCCCTGGTGGAGGCTCTCATCTTTGGCAGTAGCCACATCACCTAATATGAGGGAGCTTCAGAACAGCCATGGAGATATTCCATCATCTTTTAATTCCATATTGCCACGTACTTTTTGAAGCCCCTTGGTGTTAATTGGGCCAGTATTGGGGTTGTTGTTGTTAAGTACCATGGAGTCGGTTCCGACTCACAGCGACCCTGTACAGGGATTCTGAGGCTGGAAATCTTTACAGGAGCAGAATGCCTCGTCTTTCTCGCGTGGAAATGCTGGTAGTTTTGAACTGCTGACCTTAAGGTTGGCAGCCCGACTCGTAACCACTATGCTACCAATATTGGGGTAGGGAGGAGGAAAAGGTGCCACTAATTAGACGCTCCAATTGGTAATCTGTTAGATTGCATGTTGGGGCTTAATGTGAGATTTCACGGCTTTTCACGGTCTCTAAACCGCAAATTCAAGATGATTTGAAAACATTTTATTTAATTTTCATGCTTTTTTAATCAAAAAGTTAAAAGAATAATAATCTTTTATGGATAGTTATAAAATGTGCTATTTACACAAGAGACAGAAATATCTCCCTTAGCTGAGCAATCTAAGTGTGTGCTTAGAAAGAACTCCATTGGAATACTGATGACAGAGGGTAGAATGGTTTGGGAGACAACTGAATTCATTCTTCAAGGTGATGTCTGTCTTGGTGCAGTGTGACTCTGGGTTCAGTCATTACCACCTCTTCATCTCTCCACAATGGGAGGGACTTGGCCTTGAGGACCTGGTGTCTTGTCCCTCTTTGCATTTTTGGATCCGTGCACGGTGCCTGTTGTGGGGCAGGTGGTCAGGATTGTTGGTTGGATGAAGGAATCGATGAAAGTCCTCCATAATCTCCCTCCTGCAGTCTGTGGGGAGACCTGCCAATGCTCACTTTGTCTTTGGCACAGCACCACGAGAGGCAGAAGCAGTGGCCACAGCTTAGGCCCCTCACATAGTGAAGGACATGCCAAGGGGGACGGGGCCATGAGAATGTCTGCATGTTGGTTTTGATGTTTGCTAAAGTCCTTATTTTCACTTCTTATTTGATTCAGACTCATAGACATAGAGTGATCTTAGAATCCTTGAAGCCTAACTTCTTCACTTTTCAGACGAGGAAAACAGAGGCTTAAAGTAGAAAAGTGTCTTCCTTAAGAACCAAGTCAGGACTCGAATTCTCCTGCTCGCTCTTATAAAGATATCTTTCCCCCTGTACTGGCTTCTTTCATGTCTTGGTCTGTGCTGTTTCCCATAACTTTCCAACCCCTACAGCTTTTGGTATTGTTAAGAGTGTTGACAGCAGCATTTTTATTCTTTCTTTAACTTTGCACTCTTCTCTCTTTTCTTCAGGAGACTGGGAACCCTAGGAAACTGGACAGAGTCCCTGGATTGCTGGATCACACATGAGAATGAAGAAAGATACCATCCTGTCTGACCCTGGAAGGGAGTCTGAGACACAGAAAGGGTGACCTGGTCCAGCTGAGGGGCTCAGCAGTGTTTGAGGTTGAACCCAAAGTATTTGGTGGAAGCTTTTACAATCACATAACTGGCAAAGTCCCAAATGTGGGCCTGCTGACATGGGCTAGGTGAGTCCCCCATCTCATTACCAATCTCTGGGATAGCAATGACTACCACCACCACCACCATCATCATCATCATCATCGCCTTGGACAGGCGTGCATGACTAAGGAACCCCAGGGACTTCCATTTGAAATGAGCTGCTTTTTAGCCAACCCTGAGTCTCCAGGATTCAAAGATCATGAAGCTGAAAGGTGCCCTCAGAGATCATCAGTTCTGGCTTGCTGCCTTTAGACAGGACGAACGTTTATAGAATAGTGCTATATAGGAAATTGAACCCAACTTACTTTTATATGTTATTCTTGTGATAGTATCTCTGTTGAGCATTCGGTTAAGAAATGGGTTTGAAGAATCAGAAACCTAGGAGAAAAAAGAAACTATTAATGTCTGTACAGTACAATCCAAGAATGAACATCACCTCTGTGCATTCATCCACTCATTCATATTTGTTGAGGGCCTTCCACATGCCAAACACTTAATTGGCTGGTAATTGAATGATGAAAGGCACAGACCCTAGTTACAAGGACACCCTGATCTAGAGAAGAAAGACAGACAAGGAAACAGATGGTTACACAGTAGTTTTAAGAGTCTTATGACTGGTGTTGGGTACCATCAAGTTGATTCTGATTCATAACAACCCCATGTGACAAAGCAGTACTAACCTATGGGGATTCTGACCATCATCTTTACAGATGGCCAGATCTCGCTCCTGTGAAGTTGTTGGGTGGGTTTGACTCACCAAACTTTTGGTTAGAAGCTGAAAACGTAACTATTACATTACTAGGGTTCCTTAGTGTTATGAGAGAGAATGAAGATATTGGAGGAGGTACCACCCACCCAGGGAACTTAGGAGCTAAGGGCTGAGCTGAGTATTGTAGGGTAGTGGGGTTTGGCAGAAGAGTAGGAAGTGGGAAGGAGAAGGAAACATGTTTCAGACCCAGGATCTACACACCCATGGGCATGGAGAAGTCAAACCTAGACATGCTCCAAGCTCTGTAACATTTTCGTGCAGTTGGAGCTGAAGGTATGAAGGAAGGATGAAAGATGAGGTTACAGAGGTAGGCAGGGGCTAGCTCAGGTCAGGCTTTGAATGTTAAGATATTCTAACTTTATTTTGTAGTCATGGAGAACCATTAAAAGGTTACAGAGGGTAGTGGTGATTGTTAAGTGCCATTGAGTTGGTTCATGGCAACCCCATCTAGGGTTTCCAAGGAATGGCTGGTGGGCTTGAACTGCTGACTTTGTGATTGGAAGTCCAGTGCTTATCCTACAGCACCACAACAGGACTCCTAAATAGGGAGTAGGGACTGGCATGTTAGGAAAGTGATATTTACCTAAGTAGATAGCGTAACAAAAAGCACCCGCAAAAGAGATGTCAGCAGATGAAAACTCTCTGAGATGTGATATCTAGAACTACTCATTATTACATGCATTGGTATATTACAAACCACATCACATTCAGACAACCACTCTTCCATCCATTCATGCATGCATCCATCCAGTATCTACTGAGCACTTATTAGGGGCCAAACATTGTACCAGATGCTAAGAGATCAGTTTCCTTTCTATGCCCATGATCTCTTTGGGAGAACAAGACGAGCTTTCAGAGGATTAAACCAAGGACCCCCTCATCTGGGGAGTGTGACATCCCCCCAACCCCAACACAACCATGTACATTGCTTTCTTAACAACTCCCTTTGAACGCAGCCGTTCCCAAGGTTCCATTGTTCATCCCAGACATTTCTCGCCTACCTTGCTCAGCTCTGCTCTGTAATTTACACCTCAGCTGCTAAACGGATGTTGTGACACATCAACATTTTAAATCTGATTTATTCTGAGGTTTGGGGAAATTGCAGCAGATGATTATTATTATTAGATAAGCAACAGGTAATTTTAAGTTTGGAGAAAGCACAGACTGTTTATTTTCCCTCCATCTGTCTCTCTTTCTCGTACACAGTTTCCTGGGTGGGTTTTGGTGAGATACACACCAAGCAGAACCTGGTGACTGATGATCCTTAGAGGAGGTAAAAGTCCACCCAGTGAGGAAAAGCCCAGATCCAACACTGCTGCTTCTGGGAGCTTTGTGCCAAGCTCAACTTCTACTTGGACATCTCTTCTGCCATTTAAAAAGGAGCTTAAAGCCTCCTGTTGGTGCTGGTGAACTTCATGAAAGAAGAGCCACAACAATGTTGTGAATGGGGATGGAATCTGCCATATCCCTTAATCAGGTGCCTTGGTACCTGGTGAGTCTGGGCAGAGCTCATGCTGGGACTAGGCCCTTCTGAGCTGATGAACAAAACATGGAAATTTTTCCAAAGTGCACACAGATGATTTGTGGGCTTCAGTGTGCTGGCTGCGTGGGTGAGAGGATAAAATATGTACTTGGTATAAGTGAGCTTAAGTGGGAGGTTAATGGTGTGTGATGGAGCTGCAATTACAGCCAAATCTCAGCTCCCTGTGGCCAGGAAAAGGGTGGGGGATTAGTAGGGCCAAGAGACAAATAAAACCCAGAGATCAACAAATCTCTCATTTTGCTCAACTACTCCCAACCCTTGGACGGCTTGGTTTCTGATGAAGGTCACGTCTCTAGACTGTTAATCTAGGTATGGGCCTGTCATCTCCCAGTCCTACCTGCTGGCAGGGAGTGGAAGAGGGTGGTCCAAGGAGGGAGGACACTGATGAGCTGGTCACCCTGAGAGACCACTTCGTTCAAGTCAGTTCTGGGGCCCCGTGCCTAGCAGAGGCTTGACTCCTTCCCCCATTCAGTCGGTGCATTGGGAGGAGTGAATGATGAGTCCCAGCTTGGCTAACTCGCTGAGGAACAAACAGCTGGGAGTTCATTGCATTGGACAAAGATAGAAATGCTGTGGTTTATTTTGAGATGGAGCCAGAAACCTTCAGGTTTGCTCAGGGAAAGACTGGGAGCATCCCTAGCAGCCAATCTGGCCTGTGACAATGCAGGAGTGAGGCTCCCCTCTGTCACTGACCTCAGAGTCCTCTCAACCCTCAGGGAAGCAGCAGGGAGCTAGGGCCTGCAGCCAGAGTTCTCCGTGGAGCTAGCGTTTCTGCACAAGCGCCTGAAATGCATGAAAGGAACCAGTAGCCTGGCTGTTGAGGAGGCTGGTCTCCGGGTTTATCAATCACCCTGTCTGTGGTAATGTGCCTGCAATTCCAGGATGACATTCACTGACTCAGGAGCTTTGAGCAAAGTGAAACAAAGTCAGAGATTGAGACGGAGACACCTTCTACAGAACCGAATGTTGGGGAGGCCATGTTGGCCTGTGGTAGTCACTCCTGGAAGGGCTGGAGTTTTTCTCTAGGCCCGCCAAATTCTGGTGGAGAGCAAGCCAGGAAAAAGGGGAGCTCCTGAGCACACGTGATGGAATTCTGCAGTGTGTCTGCAGGTTTCACAACAGTGCATATGGCTGAGACCGAACTTGCCAGTTGGTTATCAATGTCTTCATTGGAGATGGACGGCTCATGCTGTAGAGAGCATGAGGGAGGTTGGACTTTAAAATGTGGGTTTCTCTCTTTTCCCCCTCAATTGCTTCCTCTTACTTCTTTTGGGGAGGTACAGTACAATGTGAAGGAGCTCTGGTGAAATAGTGCGGTAAGCGTTGGGTTAATTGAAAGGACAGCAGTTCAAATCCACCAGTGGGTCAGTGGCAGAAAGATGAGACTGTCTATTCAGGTAAAGATTTACAGCCTCAGCGACCCTATGGCTCTGCCCGTTCCCTTAATCAGTGGTCTTGTAGCAGGTGAGGCCAGGCAAGGCTACGCTGGGACTGAACCTTTCTGAGCTGAATCAGAATCAACTCCTCAGTAGTGGCTAAGTACAATGTGAATAAAGGGCTCTGGTGGTGCACCAGTTCAGCACTTGGTGAGTAACCAAAAGGTTGGCACCAAAAGAGGCAGACCTGGACATTGTTTCACCTGGACATTGGCAGTTCTGCTCTGCCGTGAGGTCACTGTGATTTCGGAAGCAGCTTAGCAGTACCAAATAACAATGCAATACGGTGAGAGCAAGGCCATGACTCTTCAAGTCAGGTGACAGTGGATTTGTCAGCTGGAATATTATGAGCTATGAGATTTCCCTAAACCATTCTCCTCATCTATTAAGACAGGGACACTAATGTCCACCCCACCTAGGTTTCTTATGGGACTGCTGGTGTGGCGCTGTAGGATCAGCACTGAACTTTGAACCATAAAGTTCTGTGGTTAAAACCCACCCAACCGCTCCTTGGAAACCCTATACTGGGTCGCTGTGAGTCAGAACTGACTTGACGACACTTAACAACAAGGTGTCTTATGAGGATCAAATAATAAAATAAATGTCAAGTACACACTGCAGTGCCTAGCATTCAGGATGGAGCGGATCCTACAGGGTTTGTAGCAGTGTCTGGAGATCCATCCACAGCAGGTACAGGGCAGGATCTGTCCTAGCTCCAGTGTCCTTGGGGAGGCCACACCAAGATTAAGACAATTTAACAGCCTAACAATTCCCTGGCCGAATGCCTCTTTCTCTCTTTGCTAAGGACACACCAAGGATTTGTGACTGGTGGTGGCCAGGAACAGCAACATGCCACAGATTCCCTCACCAACCACACAGCTCTTCCAGGACACAGGAAGTCCTGCCCAGGTGAGGAAGAGGAAGTTAGTAAGAGGTGTGGGGTCTGGAGAGCGCTGGCCAGGCAGGGTGAAGTGTCTACTGCAAAGGAGAATGATTTAGGGGGTCAGAGAGGGCAGAATGCCCTAGGGTTGATGATGATGCTATCATGGAAGCTCTAAAAAATTGGTTGGGGACAGTGCTGGGTCCCCCTGATCATTTCAGCAGATTATAAGTATTGATGGGGGCCTTTCTTCCGATGGTCCGGCCGAAACTTCCAAGGGGCTGGGGCATGATAGGCAACTATTGGAGCCACTATATATCGCTTTATATTTTTTATTTATTTCAATTGGAAAGACAATGTTCTCTTTTTAAATTTTTGCTTATTAACTTCAGTTTACATTGTCCTAAATGTTAGAGGTGATTATTATTATTATTATTTTAATAAATTAAGATTTGCCTGGTTGGAGATTTTATTTGTTGCTCTTGCCTGTGAGGGAGATGTGCTACTTCCCTCAGTTGTCATGAAGTCAGTGTTCTGGACTGTGGCTTTCTTTTCCCCGGGATGCTCCCGGGATGCTTGTGGGGAGGAGGGAGGGTGGTGAGCAAGGAAGATGATATTCAGCGTCATTGTGACGAAGTTGGAAGGGGCTGCTTAGTGCGGTGCCTGGAGGGGGAAAGGGCACCTTACACTTTTCTGAGTTTATTTTGTCAAGGGGCAATGGACAGAGAGACCATCAGTCCTGTGGGCTATCCATGACCCTTTCATTGCATCCTTCCGACTCTGTGTTACGTGGACCTGGTTTGGAACCCTTTTGTCTCTGGGGCAGAGGCTGTCTGAATCCTTGGGCTCTGACGATCTAACAAGGAGCCTGCTGCTTTTGCATCTCATAGAAGGAGGGCTCATTTTCCCATCTATTTCTGTGATACCACACACGCTACAGTTTTTCTAGGGCATGGAAGGAAAGCTGTAGAGTCACCCTTTTCCTATTTCTAAGGCTCAACAGAAACTGTAAACCAATATTCTGATAGGAGTGGGGCTGGCAAGAAGAAAAGAGTGAAGGAATGCAAGAGACTTACTTTTATAAATATAGAAACTACCACCAATCCATTTGGACTCTTTGCAGCTTCTGTGACATTTGTATATAGCTCGTGGTTATAGTGGATGAGCTGCACCTGGCAGGAAAGAAAAGCAGTAATGAGACCAATAATCCAACAGTACAAGGTGTGAGGTACAGCACCTGCTCTCCATCAAGGTGAACTGTAAAGTATGTTCTAGGACTCCTGGTGTGGTACTGTACAAGAAGCACTGGACTGCTAACCACAGGATCAGTGTTCAAACCCACCAGCCGCTCCTTGGAAACCCTATGCAGGGTCACTATGAGCTAGAACACACTCAATGGCACAAAATAACAACAAATGGAAAGGAAATCTTTTTTCATTGAAGTGATTTTAGATATCTCTATCCACATCTGTCCTATCTATCCACACAGTCCTGGCATGGCGCTGTGGGTTAATGCGCCAGACTGCAAAGCCGTTTGAACTGCAAGGTCGGCGGTTCAAGCTCACAGTCGCTCTTTGGAAACCCTATACAGGGTCGCTATGGGTCGGAATCGACTCGACGGCACTTAACAACAACATCCACATCTGCCTCCATGTTGATACGTCTGTCTATATGTAAATATCTCTATGTAAGTACATACCCCCTTAATGCTGTGGTGTCGATTTCGACTCAGCAACCTTATAAAGCACAATAGAACTGCTCCTAGGGTTTCCGAGGCTGCCAGCCTCATCTCTGTCCCATGCTGCGGCTGGTGGCTTTGAATCACCGACCTTGAGTTTAGCAATCCAATGCTTAACCCACTATACTACCAGGGCTTCCATATGTAAGTATGTTGCCATTAGGTGCCACTGAGTCGATTTGGGCCCCCAGCAAACCTGGGTGGAGTTTCTGAGGCTGTAAATCTTTGTGTTAGCAGAAAGCCTCCTCTTCCTCTCACTGAATGGTTGGCAAATTTGAACTGCCAACCTTGTGGATAGCAGTCCAGAGTTTCTCCTACAGTGCCACTTCAAGACTTTTATGATAGTATAGATGTAAATGCATACACGTATGAAAAAAGACCACAATGTTCCAGAGTCCATCTGGCTCTGGCTATGTCCCAGGATATTTCCCCTAAGGTGTAGGTAAAATGCACTTCCCTTATTGGAAAGGGAGCTGTCCTTCAGGAAAAAACATGCTGTCTGGGCTGCACCAACAGCTGCCACCTGCACCCCAACTCCTCCTGGAAGCCTCGGGACCAGCAGGGAGTGTTAAAAGTCCTGAGTCTGTTCAGTGGCTTGACCAGGAGACCAGCCAGTCTGAAAGAAGTGGTCTTCTGATGACGAGCGGCCTTGTGATGTGGACTCACTCCTGTGGGTCAGGCTTCCCTGGGCTGTGCAAGACTCAATGTCTTCCTCATTCAGTGAGGATCAGCGATCTGCCCAGGCCATGTGGGTAGCCAAAGGTGTCCAGGATCAGGGCTCCAGAGAACTTGGTCTACCCTCTGACCCCACCACATTTTTAAACCCTTTTTTTTTTTTTTTTTTTTTAAAGTGAAACATGACGTCTCCATTAACTTTTAGCCATATGGTCAAGTAACTCCATCTCACTGAGCCTCAATTGTTTCCTCTGAAAAGTGGGTATGTATGATGATCTCTCCTTGGGATTCAACTCAGAGTTCTGGCTTTTAAAATGGACTTTTCCTTTTAAAGAATGGAAAATGTTTGTTATGAATTAGTAAGTAAAAAAAATAAGTCTTAGTTCCTTCTCTACTTAGAATTCCAGCTCAAGAGATAACGATTTTAAGCAGCTTAGTGTACGTTCTTCCAGACGTTGTGTATGTGTTTGCTTTACGTCATACACAGAAGACTTGAAAAACAATGGAAATGGAATCATGTATAAATATGGTTCTGGAGCTTGACTTTTTAAATTTAAAAATAATTTGTGGCTATCTTTCTAAGTCAACGTATATAGATCTTCCTAAGGAGCTCTGGTGTGGCACTGTGGGTTAATGCGCCAGACTGCAAATCCATTTGAACTGCAAGGTTGGCAGTTCAAGCTTACCAGCTGCTCCTTGGAAACCCTATACAGGGGTTCTATGGGTCAGAATCGACTCGGAGGCACTTAACAACAACAACAAAGGCACTCTGGTAGCATAGCATAGCCATTTGAAAACTACCAGCTGTTCTGCAGAAGAAAGATGAGGCATTCTGCTTCTGTAAAGATTTACAGCTTCAGAAACCCTATGCAGGGTCACTATGAGTCGGAACCTACTCCATAGCACCACCACCACCACCACCACCACCAAATCTTCTTAATGGAGTCCTGGTGTGGCGCTGTGGGTTAATGTGCTGGACTTTAAACTTGGTTTGAACCTCAAAGTCGGCGGTTCAAGCTTATCACTCGCTCCTCAGAAACCCTATACAGGATCGCTATGGGTCGGAACCAACTTGACAGCATATGAAAACAAAAACAATAACCTCTCGTGTTCTCCATTTCACCAGTATCCCACAACATACTAACTAACATCATGCTGACATTTTGTTTCCATTTTTTTTCTCTCTTATAAACAAAATCAGTATGTATCATCCTGCAGTGGCGTTAGCACTTTTCACAGGCTGATGGTATTAGGTTGAGAATCTAATAAGGTAATGAATATAAAAGTGATTTGTGACCCTGGAAATATGAGAGAGTACTCATTTATCACCAACATCCTGTATTGCATTCAGAACAAGAGGTGATGAAAAGAATATTTTAGGAGTCGAGAAAGTCACTGGCTAAAAAGAATGCCTTTCCTTGGTCTTTGAAAAGCCACCTTGCCTGGCTAACACTGTAGTTTGTCACTCATTGTGTACCAGCTGTCCTGGGTGCTTTGAAACCCACCTGTGCAAAACCACAATGAGATGCCATTTCCGCCCCACTGGGCACTTAACAACAGGCTGGCTATGGGGAGCTTGGTGGCTCCTTAGGATAAGCACTAGATTGTGAACCACAAGGTTGGCAGTTGGAGCCCACCAGCTGCTATGTGGGAGACAGATGAGACTTTCTGCTCCTGCAAAGATTTCAGCCTCGGAAACCCTATACAGGGTCACTATGAATCAGAACTAACTTGAAGACACTTAACAGCAGCAACACGATGGCTTTGGGGGTCCTGGTGTGGTGCTGTAGGATAAGCACTGGATTGCTAACCACAAGGTTAGCAGTTCCAACTCACCAGCCACTCCTCAGAAACCTATACAGGGTTGCTGTGAGTCAGAACCAACTTGATGGCATATAACACTTAACAACAGGATGCCTATTGTAGAAAACAAAGAAAGCTAAGACAGTAAAACACCCAGGTTGTGTAGGATCGAAATTGATTGCTGGCCAGAATGCAAATTGGTGTGGTCTCTGTAGAAAGCCGTTTGGTGGCTCCTCACAAAGTGAAACATAGAATGACTATTAAAAAAAACCTACAGCAATTCATTATCATTAAGTCGATTCAGAATCGTAGAGTTCCTGCAGAACTGAAGAGAACTGCCCCCAGACGGTTTCTAAGGAAGCAGTACAGCCACACTGGCCCTGAGGAGCTAGAATGGCAAGACTTCATCTCTCAAACTTTGAACATGTTGTCAGGAGTCTTTGGAGAATGACATCTTGCTTGGTAAAGTGGAGGACCGGTGAAAAAGAGGAAGAGCCCCAATAAAATGGGCAGCATTGACGGGCTCAAAATACTAATTGTGAGGAAGGCACAGGGCAGTCTCCGTCTGCTGTACACAGGGTTGCTAAGATTCAGAACCAACTCAACACCACCAAACAACAACTGCAGCCTTTACAAAAGCATGCTACCATCTCTTTCTCCCAAAGCAGCAGCTGGTAGTTTTGAGTCACTGACCTTTAGGTTAGCAGCACATATGACTCAAAAACCCTACCCCTGAGTAGAAACCCCAAAGACTTGGAAGTAGGGCCTCAGATACCTGTACATCAATGTTCATTGCAGTTCCAGTCACATCAGCTGAAAGTGTGATGGTGTAGGATAAGCACTGGATTGCTAACTAGACTTCAAGGTAGATGGTTCAAACTCACCAGCTGCTCCTTGGAAACCCTATACAGGGTCCCTATGAGTTGGAACTGACTCAAAGGCACTTAACAACAACAACCCACATGTTCGTTAACAGATGAATGGATAACAAAGTGCGGTATATTCATACAATGGAATATTACTCTGCCATAAAGAGAAATGAAGTACTAATACATGTCACAGATGGATGAACCTTGAAAACATGGTAAGTAAAATGAACCTCACAAAAAAGGGCAGATATTGCATGATCCCGCTTAGATGAAATATTTAAACTAGACAAATGAATAGAGAAACAGAGAGTGGATTTGCAGTTAACAGGGACTGGGGAGTACAGGAAATGGGGGAGTTATTATTTAACAGGTACAATATTTCTGTTTGAGACAGTGAGTTTTGGAAATAGTGGCCATGTCTTCATAGTGTATGGAATTTATGCCAGTTGTACATTTACAAATGGTTTAAATAGGCAAATTGTATGTGGCATATATTTTCACCGCAATTTTGAACACAAAACACATATGCCTGCCCCCAATTCTGATTTAATTGGTTTGGGGTGGGGACTGGGCACTGGTGTCTGTTACAATCTCTCCAGCTAGAGGGGGGTTGGAGTTGAGAACCGTGAAGATCAATTCGCCATCAGTGCCCAGTCAGCTGGATGGCCCCTTGAATCTGAGACTATCCCAAGCATCCTGAGTCAGCGAAGCTTCCCCGGAGGGAGCACACATTATTGTTGTGATCATAGCCTATTGGCTCAGTGCTCTTTCACTTCTTGTGAGTTTTGCCAATGGAGGCAGATAGCTATACAGCAGCTACTCTAACATCACAAGGACACCTACAGAGGGACTAGGGACAGTGTGCTGCCTGTGTAGGACTCACGTCAGGCAGGTGTGTCAGTCCTGCACTCATTGACCACTTCTCCCCCCACCCCCTGCACACCCCCATCACAGAGCCAGGGCTTTGTGGAGTAGCCAGGAGCTCTGAGGGGTCACCATACCTCCCTTTCATGCTGAGGTAGCTTCTTAATGAAAATCAGATACACGCCTGCCATCTGCTAAGTTCTTCTCACCTGATCCAGGTGAC